ACTTTGCCTTTCACCTCAAATCCTGCCACCACGCCTACGAAGCTGATAATCTTTATGACGGAGAGTAGGCTTGGCTTGTCTTCCTGCATGAGAAATTGCCAGACAGCAATAGCTTAACTGTGGAAGCTGTTCTGTTGTGCACATTTTTCAACATCAACCATGTGGAGTTGGTAGATTGGACACAGCTACCAAACTTTGAAGTTCTAGCTTGTTGTGTCGCCATTTTCACCACCTGCTGCCTGCCTCCTGGTTCAAGACAGCTGCTGGAGCTGCAAGCACCAAGGGTGCAGTCCAGATTCACAGAAAGGAGATGGCAAAGATAGGTAGAGCCCTCTCTTTTGGACACAGGAGAGTTTGGATTTCATTTGGTTGGTTTATATCTATACCCTGTGTGTGAAGTCTGTTCAGAGTGAGGGGTTCAACCCACCCCTTGAGCCATTCCCCCACCCACTAAAAGACTTTCAGAAATTACACAAATGCTCTAGTCCCTTGAGCCATCTTTCCATTCATTAAAACACTTTTGGAAATTACACAAACCCTTTGACCTCCTCTTGGGCCACAACCCTTGGGCTCACCCTGAGTGGTTCTCCCTCCCAGCCCACACCCAACCTGCCATTGGTGGTTTGTCTGAATGTAGCTGAGACACATGACACGGCCCCAGCTGAAGTCCCAGCTATCTTCTCTCCGCACACTCCTGCCACCTCCTGGCCCTTTCCGGTCTCTTCCTCATCACAGAACACCCTGCACTTATGCCTCTTTCCCAGGGGCTTTTGGTTGCAATGAAACCAACCAACCCTGACCTTCCCATATCCTCTGTGTTCTGAGCAGGGGTCTCATAACTCCTCCACAGATCCGCTTGATCCGGCCTCTTCTCTGCACATTCCTGTTCCCTCTGCCAGAATGCTCTCCCCCAGAGCTGCATGTTGCTGCAAACTTTTTTTTGTTTTGCTTTTGAGCCACATCAAGCAGTGGTCATAGCTTACTCCTAGCTCTGTCTTTAGGGACCAGCCCTGGACTAGAGGGACCACATGGGGTGCCAGGGGTCTAACCCAAGTTGGCTGCGTGAAAGGCAAGTGCCTTACCTGTTGTTCTGTCTCTCCAGACCCAAAGCAAACTTCTTTAATCTCTCTCCCTCTGTTCAGCCAGCCAGTCATCTCTCCATCACTCCATCCTTCCATCCATCAATCTGCCCACCCAGGCATGATCCTTCCATCTTCCCTGCCTCCCCGCTCTGCCTCTGCCTCCCCCTCTCCATCCCTCCCTCCTACTTTCTCCTTTCCTTTTGTTGTTGTCAGATGTTCAGGGTCGCACCTCTGCTATGCATTTGCTAGGGCCATGTGCTCTACTTGTGATGCTTGCACATACCAGGCTGTGCCCAGATCACAAACTCTCTTGCAGCCCAGGGATATCCTAGACAACAGAGCTTCTGGAACAGTGCTTGGTGCTTGTGGCAATGCTGGGGAGTGAACTTGTGATTTCACACTTAAAAGGCCAAGTGCTTTTAGCCATTGAGCCATGCCCTGGGCAGTACACACACACACACACACACACACACACACACACACACACACACACACACACTTTCCTGCGGTGCTGAGGATGAAACCAGGGTCTTCCATATGCAAGGAATGAACTCTACCCCTCAACTCAATCTCCACTCACCACACCTTCATCAGCTCAAATGCTTCCCCCTCCAGAAGGCCTTCTCTGCCCCCCTTAGCTGGAGGGTCCCTGTCCTCTCTGTGGCTATTTTTCTGCACAGAAGTCTTTGTCTTCCTTGGACCCCCCCCCCCAGCTCTAAACAGGGCAGGCCTTTTCCCACCTGGCACCTTGCTTGATATGTGTGAGCTCCAAAATGTGATGTGACGTGTGACTTCGGTGGTTAAGAGTTGCCTTCCTATCCTTTCTGTCCTCCCTAGCAGAGGAACAAAAAGACGGGGGATTCATGAATAGATGATAAAATGACCCATTTAATGCAGAGCTGCCAGCATACTTATAGAATATCTGCGGGGGTTTCAAAGGACTGAGGTAGGTGTGAGTGGTCATTTATAGAGGTTAAAGCATTTCGATGGAGGCAATTCTCTTGGGGGGATTAATTCAAGGAGACTCTCTGTTTCCCAGGGACATATATATTGCTTTTCTCTTTTCCTTAAGTTGCACATATTAAACAATTAAGTTTATTTCTTATTAATACTTGCAGTTATTTGGATAAACACAGTAAGAGATAATGTTTCAAAATTTAAGTTTTCTGGGCTCTTAGTTTTCTGGGCAAGCAAGGTTTTTACCATAAATCCCAGACTAACTCCTCAGGCCACTTCAGCTTGTCCTTCCCCATGGGGTTCTATCTCTTAAGTCATGATGGCTTACATCAAGATCTTAGTTTCATGCTTTCTAGACAGTCCCATTTCAATGCCAGGTAGCTTAGCCGCTCGCCCCGGGTCCATCCCAGTCCCATGGTGGGACCTCCCTTTGTGGTGTATTAGGAACTATGGCAACCAAAATCTGAGTGAAGTGATTATGACAGATGCCCAGGAGTAGATATATGTCAGAATCAATCAACTTCCAAATATTAGGAGTAGTATTAACAGTCTTTCTGTGTTTAAGCAAAGAACATTGCTCTATAGTAAAATATAAAAAGGCTACAGGAGAAATAGAAAAGCAAGTAATTCACTACAAGTACAAAATCCAGAGATACCAGAAAGTTTTAGCTTATAAGTAACCAACACTGATTTTGGGAACTGTGGCAATGAGAGATAAACACAAAGGAAAGGTTACAGATAAACTTTGGGGATTATGAGTGTTGAAAGTAGGTAAAGGGATATTCTTGATAACCTTTCAGTATCAATATTACAAACCACAATGCACAAAGGGAGAGAGAGACAGACGGAGAGAGAAGACAGAGGCGAGCTGAGGGGGTAGGGGGTGGGGAGGGTTGAGAACCTGGGGACACTGGTGCTGGGAAATGTACACTGGTGGAGGGATGGGTGTTGGAATACTTCATGACTGACACCTAATTATGAATAGCTTTTTTTCCCCCTTTTTGGGTCACACCTGGCGATGCTCAGGAGTTACTCCTGGCTCTGCACTCAGGCAGGAATCACTCCTGGTAGTGCTCGGGGAACCATATGGGATTCTAGGAATTGAATCCAGGTTGGCCGCGTGCAAGGCAAACGCCCTACCTGCTCTGCTATTGCTCCAGCCCCTGAACAGCTTTGTTAGGGTCTATCTAATAGTGATTCAATAAAAAAGTAAAAAAAAATTTGGGAGATTAGGGGTGCTCATAAGAGCACTATAAGCTTCTCTGGGAGAAGGAAAAGGGGCAATTTAATGAAGCCTAAAGCACTTCAGGTTAATACCCAATAATATGCATGTCAGGGTGCTGCCATAAAGCTGACCCCTGTCCAAAGCAGCCTGTGGGCTCTTGGCCAGCCTGGCCCCAGGGCCTATACCACACATGCCCCCAACTACATTGTCCTCCAGCCATGCCAGGCTCTGCCTTCCCTTGAGCATCCCCTTGGAAAAGCCGGGCACTGGCACTCTGGGGATGATGTGGACCCTAACTTCTAGGAGGAGGGTCCCTGCCAGCTAGAGGGGTGCCCAATAAGTCGCTCCCTGGCATCCTGGACTTCTCCAAAGTGGGGACATGACATCAATAAGTGGCCTATCATGCGCTGTGGAATAAACAGTGGGCAGAGTTGGCCTTTAGCTCTGGCCAACATCCAGCCAACAAGAGCAAGAAAAATGTGTCAGAACTTTAGACGTCACCTGTGGCAGGAACCAGCCCTGGTGGGAGGGGAGCAGCAGGTCACAGCTGCTCTGCACAGATGCAACAGCTGTCATGGGGGGAGGGGGCTTAGCCTTTTAGCTCTAAGAACAAAGCAAAGACCTCTGGGAATGTTCCCCTCCCGACTGGAGAGAGCAGAAGGCAAGGCCTTGCATGCAGCTGACCCCATTTATTCCTGGTACTACACATGGTCCCCCAAGCCCTGCCTGGAGTAAGCCCTGAGCACTGCTGGAGGAGGGAGGGGAGGGAGTGTGTTGCTGGGGAGAGGAAGCAGCCCAGCATACCCCTCTAGACTGCCCTTTATTATTTTCTTTTGGAGCCAAGCCCAGCTAACTGCTATGTGGGTCTGGGGTGCCGCTGCCAGTGGGCTGGGGATGGAACTCAGCTCCAGCCCTGTGAGGCCCTTCAGCACTGGCCTCTGAAAGACACAGGTCTTTCTTCATCCCCATAGAAGTGATGTCTTCAGTTAGCAGGCCCCATACTCTCGAGCCAGGTGGATCAGACGGGGACCAAGAATCTTGCCTCACTCAGTTTCATCCCCAGCACTGCATATACAGAACCCAAGCTCAGAATATTTTGGTTTTGGGGTCACACTGGGCTCTGCACTCAGGAATTACTCTGGCGGTGCTGAGCTGAGCACAAAGCTGCTTGTGAGCTGTGCTGGGGGAAGGGACACTGGGCCCTGGAGATGGCCCTGGGTCCCTGTGCACAGAGCAGGCGCCCTGGCCCTTGGTCTGCTCCCTCAACCCAAGCTTTCTTTTGGGGGAGGGGCCTGCCCCAGATCTGCCCTGGATCTTGCTTGCAGGCAACTCAGCAGAGATGATTGCTAAAGACCTGGTGCACTTAGGAAAAGCTGGCCAGAAAAGCTCGGTGGACAGGGCAGGCAGCTCCAGCACCCAGGAAGTCTCAGGGTCTCGCATGTGATGCTGGACACACTGAAGGATGCCGGAGAGAGCTCCTGGTCTTGCAGGATCCCCAGCAGGAGTCTGTGCCCCTGGGAGCCTGTTGGCTGAGGCATGACCAGAGGTTGCCCTGCCCCTGGCTGAGTGGGCAACACTGGGGCTTCTGAGGGGGCCTGGGCCAATCCGATTCTGGCTTCTGGTGACCTGGCCAGTGCTATGACTGCAGGAAAGGTTGCTCTAAAGACCTAGCTGCTGGCCCTGCTGGCCCTGCTGACTCTTCTTCCAGCCCATGCTAGGGGTCCGCTCCCCGCAGGCTCCTTGCAGACACAGGGGTACCTAGGGAGGGACTCAGAGTGGGCCCCTCCCTGTTCAGAGAAAAACACCGGCTGGAACCAAGAAGGAGCTTGATGGTGGGAAAGGAGGCTGTGGGCAACAGGGAAGGACAGGGCAGTGCTGGGAGGGCTACAGTGAGGCACCTGGCCTCACAGGTCCAGGTCTGTCAAGGAGCTGTAGAAGCCTTCTTTCTTGCGCTCCCTTTTGTCAATGTAGGGTGATAGCGGCCAGTGCCGAACCACGTGCCGATAGGACAAGGCCAGGCAGTCGAAGTAGTTGATGTTGAGCTTCTGGGCGATGTGGCGGCCCAGGTACTCCATTAGCTGCGAGACGGAGTGAGTGGAGATGCTCTGCCCCTCCAGTGGGCGCCCCATTGGCCCCAGGCTGAGAGCCTCTTCTGCGGTGGTGGTGGGGGGCCTGGGGGGCCCTTGGGCCAGGGCAGCACTCCAGACCCACCTCGTAGCGCTCGGACAGCTGCACCAGCACCAGTGGCTCCAGCTTGTAGCCGCTCAAAACCAGCTGGAAGAAGCATTTTCCGTGGACTGCAGGGTGGGATGGGGGTGGAGGTGGGGGCAGAGACTCAGCTGGGCCCACACAGACGGCTTTCGGCTCCCAAGCGATTTCCCTACCCTTGTCCACCCACCCCATGCACCACCAGCCCCGCAGGTCAACGTCACCGTCTGAGCTGAGCGCCAGGCGGACGTAGATAAGGTGCATGGGGCCCTGATACACGGTGTGCCCTTGGATGGAGAAGTGGTAGTAGCCGCGCTTGCAGTGCAGCAGCAGGCGCCGCCGAGGTAGCGAGGAGACCACCAGCCACAGCCCCACGACCATGCCGCACGCGGGCAAGCCCCAAGTCTCCTGCTTCTGCACCTGTGGGCACGGCATGAGCACCTGAGCGGATGGGGAAGGGGGCCTCGAGAGGAAGGCCGTGCGGGCGGGGCCTAGCTCAGACCTGGCTCACAATGTTGAAGCTGACCAGGAGGAAGCAGACAACGAAGAGCAGCGTCCCCTTCCACAGCGAGTCCCGGTAGTACTCGAGCGCGAAGACTGGGGGGCGGCGCAGCAGCGGCTCGTGACGACTGTAGGTCCCTCTCGCAGCCGGGTGGCAGTGCCAGGGCTCCGGCAGCGAGCACCCCACCCTTAGCGGGAGCCCGACCGGCCGCGGCCGCCTTCAGCCTCAGGCTTGGTTGTGGCCGCGCCCCTTCAGCCCTGGTTTGTCCCAGCTTTTGGGTCCAGAGCCACGGTCCCTCGGCAACGGACCCCGCCCCCACGGGAACCGTAGACCAGGGCTCCGCCCCTCGGCACCTGACCCCGCCCCCACGGGACTCAGGGCTGGCGCCCCGCCCATTCCGGCCCTTCCGAGGTCCCGCCCCATCGCCCCTCTGCTCGCACCCCGGCCCCGCCTGGCTCCTCGGTGGGACCCTGGGCGTAGCCCGGGCCCCGACGCCCGCCGCCGCCTGGCTCTTCGGGCCCGATCCCGCCTGCGCGTCCGCCCTCGGCGGCGTCCCTGCCGCGCACCATGTGGCTGCACTTGCGTGAATGGGTAGAAGCTGTTCCTCTTGAGCCGCCGGGCCAGGTGGCGCTCGGTGCTGCAGAGCCCGAGCGCCCAGAGCTGAAAGGGCTTGCCCTCGCACACGGGGAACGAGAAGCCGCGCGCACGCCGCCGCCGTCGCTGGGCCCCCGCCTGCGCCACGCACAGCGTCAGCCGGGCCCGGGGCCGCCCCCCGCGCCGCTCCGCACGCTTACCGGGAGGTCCAGGGCTGCGAGCCGCTCCAGACGCCTCGCCCGCGGGCCGCCTCAGGGTCCGCCACGCGCGCGCGGCGCCTGCTTCTGGGAGCCCTGGGCAACGGGTTCTAGAAGGGCCACGCCCGCCGCCACCCTTCTCGGCGCGGCCCAGGAACCCCAGCCCGTCCCGGCTGGCTCCGGCGTCCGGTTAGGTGTCACCCGAAGGCCTCGGTGACCGGGGAGAAATCCGGCATCCACATCGAGCCCGGACTGAAGACGCGCCGCTGGGCAGCCTGTCAGCACCTCCCTCCCTCCAGGCACCGCACCCACAATACGCGGTGCACACACCATAGATACCGCAGCCTCACCCACATACATGCACAACACGCACAGTACACACCAGACGCCACAGCCTCATCCCCACACTGTATGTGCACACCACACACACACACACACAATACACCTTACACACGCCTCACATACCCACACTACATGCACACCACACATACACCCACAATACACCTTATGCACCAGACACCACAGCCTCACCCACATACATACACCCCACACACACTGTACATGTAAACCACATACACATACAGTACACGGTACACACACCACATAGATACCACAACCCACCTCATCCACATACATATACATCCGCACACTGTATATGCACACCACATATATAGCCGTAATACACCGTACACATACCAGACACCATAGCCTCACCCACACATATCCCACACTCTGTACGTGCACATCACACCCACAGTATATTGTAATACACACCACACACCTCATCCTCACCCCACACATCTACTGTACATATACACAAATATATATATCTACTCTACATATACATATACACAAACATCACAAACCCCTTATACATATACCAGTTACCACACACACCATATACATACTATACATATCAAGTACATACATACATTAGAACTTTGCCCCCTCTACTCAACATCATATACTCCCACATACCACACTATATCGTGCACCTTTACATATGTCTAAACACGTAACACTTCAACCCACAATACACCCAAGGCATACAGCACATATGTACACCTCACTCTACATACATCCAATACATACCACCCCACAATATACCACACACCCTCCGCATCTATACATTCATACCACAGAGCTCACATATACTACAGCTCACATACACACCTCTCCCCGCACCCTACAATATACCTCTCACGCATGGAAGTCACTCTACACACTTCACCCCCCTCATACCAGTTACCATACATACAGACCAATGCGCATCACAAACCCCTTACATACTAGTTACCACACACTTGCACCCCCTATACCTACACATGCAACCCCCACACATGCTCCCCATACACAGCACATCCCCCAAACTTCACCCCAGGGACTGGAGCAATAGTACAGCAGTAAAGCACTTACCTTGTGTGTGGCCAACCCTGGTTTTAATTCCCAGCATCTCATATGGTCCTCCGAGCACCACCAAGAGTACTTACTGAGCGCAGAGCAAGGACTAACCCTTAAGCATCTCTAGGTGTGGCCCCCAAACTGAAAAAACAAATCTTACCACACACACCACACATACATTCACTCTCAGGACCAGCCCCTGGGTGCTGTCCCCAGCCCCCTTTCCCAGGGACATCAGTCCTGGACCCAAAGAACCACACAGATCCTAAAATATGTTTTATTGTAACAAAAACGCTCCAGTATACCAAACAAGGAGAGGGGTGGGGTGGCATCTAGCTGGCGAGCAACTGCTCCAGGCACCACTGGACGGCCTCTGGGCCCTGGTAGACCCGCTTCAGGCCCCGGGGGAGGCAGCGGCATGACTCCAGGTTCAGGTACCGAAGGCTGGGGCAGCTGCTGATCACCGAGCTGTGTGTGCGGGCAAGGCATGGGCGACTGAATCAAAGGTGCTGGAAGACCTGGGGAGGCCCAGGGGACTGAGGAGAGGTGCTGACCTGACTGTGCTGGGGGTGACCCGGGTGCCTCTGAGGTTGAGGGAGCACAAGTCTGGGTGGGAGCCCCTGGCAGGGCCTGCAAAGGCAGCGAGGGCCTGCTCCAGGTCCTTCTCATTGAAGCCCTGGCCACTCAAGTCCAGCTCCCGCAGGCTGTGGCACCACTTGCGGGTCAGCAAGGGGCTGCCCTCCTTGGCCAGTGTCAGCCGGTCGGTCATGCCATACAGGCCCAGGTGAAGCTGCTCCAGCTCTGCAGGCGAGAGCAGCCGTGAGCAGCAGCTAGCCAGAGCCCCACCCCCAGGCTCCCCCCACTGGCCCTCCTAGAGCAGACCCCAACATGGCAGACGGTTCAGGCCGGCAGGTGTGATGCGGGCACAGCCGCGCAGGTCCAGCAGGCGCAGGTTGGGAGAGCTGTGCAGCAGGCGGCCCAGGACCTCATCGGTGACAGAGCTGCAGGCAGAGCTGGCGAGGCAAAGCTCCTCCAGGCTGGGAAAGCCTGGGCCCGGGGCCACTGCCCTCCCGGCGGGCTTGGGCAGCCACGGCAGGTTCAGCAGCCGCAGCACCTGGGGGCAAGGCCCAGACTGCAGGTGGGGAGGGAGGGGACGGGGCAGGAGGAGGGGGCGTCTGGTACCTGCAGTTGGGGGCAGCCTTTCTGCAGGGCCTCCACAGGCAGCTGGAGGGGGATGCTGTTAGGGCTGATGCCAGCGCTTACTTCCAGGACCCGGAGCTGGGGGCAGCAGCCGCCCTACAGCAGGGAAGGGCAGGGTCAGCAGTCTGCTAGCAGCCAACTCAGTTCCCGGGCTCTGGCCCTCCAACCTACCAGCAGTGTGCCCACCACAGCAGCCGTCTGGGAGCTGTAAGTCAGCCCCAGCCTGTGCATTCGGAGCCCTGCCTCTTCCAGGAAGCTCACCAGCGCCATGGACTCCACCTGAGGATGCAGCACAGGGTCCTGTCACCTCAGCCCCAGCTTCTCCAGGCCTGGGGCTACCGTGAGCTCACCGTGGAGTGCTGTACATCGAGGCTGTGCAGCTCAGGACACGATCTGGCCAGCAGAAGCAGGGCGTCAGGGGTGACCCGGTGGCAGTCTGAGAGCTTGAGGCAGCTGAGCCGGGGGCAGAACTCACTGGCCAGCTGCAGGGACAGAGGGTGTGATCTCTGAGGAAGGGAGGGAAACCAAGGCCAGTGCAGAGTGTCCCAAGACCGTTTGGCCACTCCACCCTCTCTGCTACCCTGGTTAGCAGAAGCTGTGTGCCTCACCTGCAGCACGGGATGTATCTGTGACTTCCAGTGGAGGAGCGTCAGCCGCTGCAGCTGGGTGAACCTGCGGCAGACAGGAGCTCCAGGCGGCCGCACCCCTGGCCAGTGCCGGACACAGAAACGGACCACACAGGGCAGCGTCTCACCGATGGGGCATGAGCCACTCCAGAGAGCCAAGAAGCTTCTTCTCCGCCTTGGCCCCGCTCTTGCCCGGCCGGCCAGACAGTGGGGGCGACAGGGTCACGGTGTGCCAGAGCGCTGGCTGGGACGCGGCCTCGTACCAGCGGCGACACACCCGCGCGGCTCTGCGGGCAAACTCGTGCTGAGCGGCCTGCTGAGCTGGGTGGGGGCTGGGGGGCGTGTCCATCTCCGAGGGGGTCCAGCTCGCCAAAGCCACAATGTGCCGCGGGCCACCCCCTCCCCGGCACACGTACGCGCGCGCCCCGAGATCGCGGAGAGGGAGGGGGTTGGTCTGGGCCGTGCCGTCGCGCTCCAGGGAGAAGCGTACCTGCCCAGGAAGGGCACGGGCCCGTCTGCCGCCACCAGCAGCCCGAAAATCTGCACCAGGATCTCCAAGGGGATGCGATCGGCCCATCCCGGGTCGGGCCTCAACGAGGGCGCGGGCGCGGGCGCGGGCGCGGGGGCGGGCGCGGCGCGGGGTCTGGCTTTGGCGGCGGTGCGAGTCCCAGGGGCGCGCGGGCGTGGGGCGCGGCGAGCGCGGGCGGGCTCCGGGCCGGGCAGCACCAGTACCATACTGTCCGCCTGCAGCAGCTGGTACTCGGAGCCGCGGGGCCCCAGGCGCTCCCACCACCAGTCCTCGGCTGAGAGGGCGTGCGGTGGCGGCGCGCGCCGGGCCCTGCGCCGGGCGCGCCGGGCCGGCCCCGGAGCCATGGTCTCCGAAGACGCGGAAGGGGCGGGCCTGGCTGGGATCGCCCCTTCCGGGCAGCGACTTCCGGCGGGCCCCGCGGGGTGGGCCGGCAGGGCCTCGGGAGCTCGGGCCGCGCGTGACGGAACCCGCTGCCGTCGGCTGTGCGCCGGGGGCGGCGCCCTCGCCGCGGGGCCTACCGGCCGGCCGGCGGAACGGGAGCGCGCGGAGCCGGACGCCCAGATCGGCGAGGACCACACCCCCAAGCGCCCGCTGGACCCTGCCGCCCGCCTCTCTCGCCGCTCCGAGGGCTCCCGGGTGGCCCAGGGCTCGCGCCCGGCCTCGCGCCCCGCACCGGAGACTCCTGCCCGCCGCGGGCGCGCGCCGGCACGTGCCACGCCTCCCACCCCGCCCCGCCCCTTGGTGGCTGGTCCCGCTGAGCCCGGCTGGCCGCACGCGGTCCGCTTGCCTGCCGGGGAGGGGACCTGCGGCCGGGACTTTCGACTGCGGCTGAATGGCATCGCCTCCGCTGGACCGGCTGGTGCTGACCCACGTGTTGGTCGCCCTCTTCGGCATGGGCTCGTGGGCTGCGGTCAACGGGCTCTGGGTGGAGCTGCCCGTGGTGGTGAAGGACCTGCCAGAGGGTGAGTGGGAGTGGGGCTTCCCCAGCGGGCTGCCCCGGGTCCACCTGCCCCTGACGCCTGTGTTCTTGCAGGTTGGAGCCTTCCCGCCTACCTCTCCGTGCTCGTGGCGCTGGGGAACCTAGGGCTGCTGGCGGTCACCCTGTGGCGGCGGCTGGCCCCGGACAGGAGCGAACAGATCTCCATCCGGGTGGTGCAGGCCCTGAGCGTGGTGGGCACGGCCCTGCTGGCCCCACTGTGGCACCGCGTGGCCCTGGTGGCTGAGCAGCAGCATTCGGTGGCTTTCCTGGCGCTGGCCTTGCTGCTGGCGCTGGCCAGCTGTGCCTCCAACGTCACCTTCCTGCCCTTCCTGGGCCACCTGCCGCCCACCTTCCTGCGCTCCTTCTTCCTGGGCCAGGGCCTGAGTGCCTTGTTGCCCTGTGTGCTGGCCCTGGTGCAGGGGGTGGGGCGCCTCGAGTGCCCACGGGCTGCTGCCAACAGCACCCCAGGAACCCCTCATCACTTCCCTGAGCGGTTTCCTGCCAGCACCTTCTTCTGGGTGCTCAGTGCTCTGCTGGTCACCTCAGCAGCCGCCTTCCAGGGCCTCCTACTGCTGCTGCCGGCCTCACCACCCTCCCCTGCCACAGACCCCGGGTGTGGCCTGCGGGTGAGAGCCCCAGAGGTTCGGGAAGAGGAGCAGGAGGAGGCCTCACCCCTGCAGGATATGCCCAACTCACCACCCAGCAGTGCCCCCAGCCCAGCTCCTGAGGGCCAGGGGCTGCTGTCCAGGCGCACTACCTGTCTGCTGGGGCTGCTGGCTGGCACCAACGCGCTGACCAATGGTGTCCTGCCCGCTGTGCAGAGCTTCTCTTGCCTTCCCTATGGGCGCCTGGCCTACCACTTGGCAGTGGTGCTGGGCAGTGCCGCCAACCCCCTTGCCTGCTTCCTGGCCATGGGCGTGCTGTGCAGGTGCTCACCGGGATGGTGTCGGGGCGGTGTGGGGTGAGGCTGGCCCAGCGCAGCCCCCTCAGACTGCTCCCACTCCACAGGTCCCTGGCCGGGCTGGGGGGTCTCTCCCTGTTGGGCTTGCTGATTGGGGCCTACTTGATGGCGCTGGCGATCCTGAGCCCCTGTCCACCACTGGTGGGCACTTCTGCAGGGGTGGTCCTTGTGGTGAGTCGTGGGGACACAAGGGTGGGGGGGTGGGGGTGACCCGTGCAGGGTCCCCTGCTCAGCCATTCTGTGGCCCTCACAGGTGCTGTCATGGGTGCTGTGTCTAGGCGTGTTCTCCTACGTGAAGGTGGCTGCCAGTTCCCTGCTACATGGGGGTGGTCGATCGGCACTGCTGGCAGCTGGCGTGGCCATCCAGGTGGGCTCCCTGCTGGGTGCCGTGGCCATGTTCCCGCCCACCAGCATCTACCAGGTGTTCCGCAGCGGGCGGGACTGTGAGGATCTGTGTGAGCACTGAGTCAGGATTGGCCATCTGAGTCTCCAAACGCCCGCCTGGGCTCAACCCACTCCAGTTCTGTTCCCCTGCCAGGGCCCTGCTCCATGGAGATTTACACAATAAAGTGTTTTTATTCCACCTTCAGGAGCGCCTGTTCCTGTTGGTGGGAGCCTTCTCCTTAGAGCCCAGCACCCCCTACCCCCCACATTGCTGCTCTGGGCAGAGACCCACAGGACACCATGACTGTCCAGGCCTGAGCCTGGACCCAGAGCCGGTGGGGACAGAGGAGGAGAGACCAGCTATGGCCTGTCTCAGACCCACTCGAGACCCTGAGCCTCATGTGCGTAATCCCTTCTTGGACAAGAGCTCAGTGTGGCTGTATCTGCCATCGCCAGACCCTGGGGATCTCAGCCTGGGCTGGGATGTGGTGTCCACAGGGAGCAGACCTCACTGCCAGGGAGCCCTGCCCTGGGCAGATGTTGCCTGCATTGAGACAGGATGGGCATGAGGCAGGCAGCCCTTCTGCAGGCTGCAGAGGGTCTAGGGCCTAGAAGCAGGTCGCCTGGGCTGTGACCCAGCAAGATTAGCCAGAGTGGAAACTCTCTTCCCGGATAATAGTTCTGAGTACAGGCAGACGTGACTCTGCCTGCAGCCCTTCCCCTCCATTGTTGTCTCAGGATGCCGGTGGCCAGCTTCAGAGCTCTCCTGTCCTTGGCCTTTGAAGGGCCTTGTCTTTGTTGTCCCTGCCCCAGGAGTCCCCTTCCCACTCCAGACGTGAGCAGTTTTTACTACTGGATGTCTGGGATGCCATCAAGGGGCATCCTGATCCAGCCCCCAAGGGGCTGGTGTAGTCCAGCCAGTGTGGGCACAGGGTGTCAGGGGCCCCTTGGCCACTGCCTGGCTGTGTAGGCCACTTGGAGGTGCCTTTTGGTGGCAGTGGGTGGGGTGTGCTGAGAGCACGATGGGACGGCTCCGTGTGCCCCGCTGCCTGGCCCCAGCCCCCTCTCCTGCCCACTCCACCCAGAGGCATGAAAGGCAGACCTGGCCTGCTTGTCCCTGGCCTGGGTGTGGTCTCAGGCCCTGCTGGACACTAGTAGAAAGGGGCGGGCAGAGGAGGAAGCCACTGGCCTTTGAAGCTTACAGGAAACACGGCTCCAGAGAGGGTAAGGAAGGGTCAGCCTGGCCGGATTAGCCCCCGCTGAAGCAGAACGGGTCCCACCCACACCAGCGCTGAACCCACCTCAGAGCCCCACATTGACCCCCTCACCTCTGCTTGGCACGGAGGGTACCAGAGGGAGCCTGCCGAGGCCCAGCCTGACCCTGGTGGGTGCCCTCCCCTGGGAGAGGGCATATGGCAGTAGCCATAGGGCCTGGGAAACTGCAGGCCTCCTCAGGCCATGTCCTGCCTGGCCCCTGCTGCAGCAGTTGGGTGGGTGGCACAGCAGGATGACTCCTCCCCTGCAAACCTTGGTAAGTTGGAGCGGCCTGAACACACCCCTTCTTATGTCATTTAAAACAGTGCAAGGTTTCCATCACGGCCCTCTGAACCTCCTCCTGCCAGGGGCCAGCGGAGAGGGCTCCCCACTTGGGAGAGCCCTCTCTACTGTTCATTACACAGCCAGCCAGTCCAGGCTCTCCTGCGGAGGACGGTGGGCCCCATCCCAAGCCAGAGGTTCTGCACAGGGCACATCCTGCAGCTCCCTCCACAAACTGACACCTCTGCCTGGACAAGCAGCTCTGACCAGCCATGTTGCGAAGTCATTATCTCAGCTTGCCCACCACAACATCTCTCCCTGGGTGCCTGGGGCACTGTGCAAACCTGGCTCAGTCCTCAGCACCACCTCAGAGCTGGAGGGGACTGAAGGCCTGGCCAGGGAGTTCGCTTTGCTTTGGGGTCACACCCAAAGCAAAGTGGTGGTGGTGGTGCTCAGGACTCACTCCAGCTCTGGGTTGAAGGAATCATATGTGGTGGTGGGATGGAATTGGGTCAGCTGTGTGCAAGGCCATGCCTTATGCAGCCCCTGTCTGCTGTATCCTCGCTGGCATCAAGGAGTTCACACTCTTGAGTAGTGCCACTCAGTCAATGTTGCAGACAGCAGGTGGGTCCCAAACTCCCCAACAGAGCTCCAGAGACATCCAAGCACAGAAGCAATGTGTGAGAATACCTTTCTTTGTAGTATACTCAGTAGTGCTCCAGGGCAGCACTTCTGACTGTGGGGTAATTTCTGGTGGCCAGAGGGAGAGTCATGGAGAGGGGGATGAGGACATGGAGAGGCAGAGGGTGCAGCACAGGGACGAGGAAGGGTGGAGCGAGCAGGAGGGGGTCTGGAGAGATAAGTACAGCGGGTAGGGTGCTTGCCTTGCATGCAGCCGACTCACCTGGGTTAGATCCCTGGCACTCCATATAGTCCCCCAAGCCCAACAGGAGCAATCCCTGATGGTAGAGCCACAGGTAAGTCCTGAGCTCAGTTGGGTGTGGCCCAAAGACAAACCAAAAAAACAATGGAGCAGAAGGACAGGGAGAAGGGAAGAGAAGCAGGAGGGAGCATGGGGAAGAGAGGAGGGAGTATGGGGAGGTCGAGGATCAGGAGGAGCTCACGGATCTCCCCATGAGTCTGGGTCAGGTGAAGGTGTTCCAGAGAGGAGCCAGATGGGGACTTGGCTCCAGGGTGGGGGCGGCTGCTACCTGCAGGAGCTCCCGGTGAGGGTGGGGTGGGGTACACGCAGCCGCCAGTTCGGGGCTGAGAAACTCCTCGGCCCCGCAGGAACAGATCGGGAGGGACCGGGGCTTTGGGAGGAGAGGACAGGCCACGTTGGGCATTCCCAGTCCGCCCGGCGCAGCGGGCGTCTCTGTCTCATCGAGCCAGCAGCCAACCTAGCGGAGCTCAGCTCCCAGAGCCGCTGCGGGACGTCTCCAGGCGGCCCCTAGCGCTGCGTAAAGCCCGCGAGCCCGGAGTCCCAACAGGTGGCGCGTCCCGGCGAGCGGCGAGTCCACTGCAAGCCGCCAGGGGGCGCTTTTCCACAGCACCCGCCGAAGGGCAGGTTCGCCCCGCCCCTCGCGGGCTCGTCCCGCCCCCTGCAAGCGTGCCTCGCCCCGCCCCAGGCTCGCCCCGCCCCAGGCTCGCCTCGTCCCTGCTCCGTGCAAGCTTGCTCCGCCCTGCTCCCAGGCTCGCCCCGCCCCCGCCCGGCGCGCGTACGCCCTGCGTCCCGCTCGCAGGGCCTGCTGGGTGGGCGGCGCGAGCATGCGCAGAGCCGAGCGGAGTCACGGCTGGAAAATGCTGCGACCGGTGAGCGTCCCTCGTCCAGCACCGCCCCTGGAGGCCCCCAGAGGTCCAGCGCGGTCCTTCGGGTTCCCCCTAGGCCCCCGGGACCCGTCGGGAGAGCCCGCTCCTCTGCCCTCCGTGGACACCCTCCCCTGGCCCACGCCCCTCGGACCCCGGGGCTCCCCGCTGCATCCCCGCCCAGAGCCGACCCACCCGCCCAGATGGCCCTGAAGGGACAGCTGTTCCCGAGCTGGCCTCCGTTCCCTCGGGTTCCGGTCAGCGGACACCTCGGCTCAAACTGAGCTGACCCGGGCCCCAGGTGTCTGCAGACTTGCTTTGGCGGGTGAACTGCAGGCGCGTGGGCGTCGGCGTCGGTCTCACACGCCTGCAGGGGTGAGGGGAGGGGGACTGCCCCGGGGCGTCCCTCAGGGTGGACCCGGCGTGTCCACACTCGCCCGGGGCCAATTCCGACCCCCTCCGGCACTCCAGTCCACTCCAGCTGGACTGGCCTTGACCCGGCAGGCCCCTGGCTGTCAGCACAGAGCCTGCCCTCAGGTGAAAGGGGTGGGTGAGGGGTGCTGCGGACTGGTGCGCCTCGTCTCTCTGTCCGCGTGGGGACAGCTCTGAAAGGAGGCCTGCAGGGAGAGGCGCGCTGAAGTGAGGAGGGCTTCTGGCCATGTGCTGCCGGAAGCCCCGCACGCCCGACCCCCTGTTCCCGGGCCCCACCATTTGACACCCACCACGTGGTGGTAATTGTCTCCGTGTCTGTGGCTACCCTGACAGTGCCACAGAGCAGACGTGAGCAAGTGTGGGTAGGTGCAGCAGCCATGGGCAAGTATGTGCAGCTTGATGTGTTGAGCAGTCGTGAGGGAGCAGGTGTGAACAGGTGTGAGGGAGCAGCTGTGTGGGAGCACTGTGAGGAAACAGCTGTGAGGAAATAGCTGCGAGGGAGCCGTGTGTGGGGGAGCACGTGTGAGGGAGCAGCTGTGAGCAGGCTGCCTAGGAGGCCTTTCCCTTTCCTGCTTGTTTGGAAACACCAGGTTGTCCTGGCTTTCTGACGGCACCCTGCAGGTATCCTGACTCAAGATCAGAACCAGGGGCAGGACTGCAGGACGTGCTCCTAGGCCTCTGGAGCTAGGGTGTGCAGTGGAGGTCCGGAGGATAAGGGGGGCTTCTTCCAGCCCTCTGGGGGGGGGCACACACCCCTTTCTGTGTGTCTAGCTGCCCTGCAGTGGTCCTTCCACTTTGCTGTGACTTTAAACTTCTTTTGGGAAAAGTCTTTCTGTGGGGAACCTCCCCGGGAGAGCCCCGGGCAGGGGCAGATCTTGGCAGGTGGAATGGGACAGTGTGGTTGGGCAATGGGCTTGGACCATCTCCTGCCTGGGTGTTTCTCCCCCATGGCCAGTGGCCTTCCATGTGCTGGGACAGTCTGATGGGTCATAGTCCTTCCCTGGAGCCTGGGTGGTGCCACTTTGTCTTGATGTCCTTGCAGGCTGTGCCCTTGGCCCAGAGTCATGGCTGCAGCTCCATGGCCATCTCGCAGCATGTACCTCCTCCTCAGACTGGCTGGGCCTTGGTGTGTGGAGCTGCATGCGTCCATATGCACAGATGCCCTGGCCCACTGCTGTTTGCTGGCCCTTGGACCACTTGGTGGTGACAGGTGCAGGTGTGGACTGAGAGGTGCTCACTTCCTGCTCCAGCCTCCCTGCCGTGGGGTTTTCGACGGCCTGGCCCAGGCTCCTCCGCGGAGGTTGGGGGCACTGACGCCCTTTCTCCTCTGCAGGCCCAACTTTGCCGCTTGTACTGTGCTGGGCGGAGACGTCTACAGCCCTGGTCACCTGCAGCCCTCACCAGGAGAGCCCCCGTAGGGGCGCCATCCCGGTGGTGAGTGTCCCCTGCCATGCTTCGGACACCCCCGGCCTGGGTGGACACCCTCCACGGAGGGTGGAGAGCAAGGACAGGCGGGGCCTCAGTCTGCACCCGCAGAGCTGACATCTGAGGGCTGACTGTCCTTGCAGCCTGGGTCCTGGCCCTGGGACAAGTCCTACTGTTGGGGGCTGCCTGCACCATGTTGCCTGATGAGTGACCGGCTACACACCATTCCCTGCAGGTCCTCGCGCCCCAGACCTCTGTGGAGCAAAGTGCTTTCAGCCACGGCCCTGGGGGTGCCGCTGCTGCTCGGGGCCCGCTATGCCATGGCGGAGCCGCAGGAGAAGAGGCGCCTGTGGCTGGTGGTGGAGGGCGTGGGGCGCTTCAGCAGGTAGGAGGCACCGGACAGTGGGGGGAGATGGACACTGAGGCCCCACCTGAGTGTCTCAAGCAGATACCCTTTGAGCCAGGCCTGCCGTGGCAGCAGCGTCCCCACCAGGCTCCTCGTGAAGGCTTGGCAGCCTGCCCACGTGGGTGTAGAGTCCATACACCCTTGCCAGACTGCTTCCTGGGGCTTGGGGCCTTCTGGCACCTGGAGGCGGGGTCTGTGCCATCTGCACCTCAGACTTTGACCTGGAGTCTGTGTTGCCTCCCACTGCCCCTCTTCTACTGTCTGAAGAGTGGCTATCCCTACCCCCGCATCTCTGCCAGGGGCCTGTCTGCTGGGACCTGCTTTTTTTCCCTCCTGGGCTTAGATGGCAGAGAACTGTCTTTATACCAACCCATCTCCCTCCTGTGGCTGTAGGTGCTGAAGTGGATACAGGGCCACTGTGCCAGGAGCCCAGGGGTCGCTGCAAGCAGCCTGGTCTTGGTGGCTTTTGACTGCTTCTGCACTTGTGCAGGCCCTTCTGAGGCTGGGCGGGAGAAGTGCAGGGTGGGCAGGGTGTGTGCACGTGCACGCGTGCATGTGTGTATGTGTGTGTGTGTCGGGGGTAGTACAGGGTGGGCAGGTGTGTACATGGCGGGGAAGTACCTCACTGGGCGGTGCCGCCCACTGTGACCTGAGGTTCTCCTGCCTGGAGTCTGCGGTTCTGCCCAGCAGGTCCCTGAGGGTCGGCCTGCAGATCTCCGCAGACTACTGGTGGTGCACAAATGTGACCCTGCGAGGGCTGCCTGAGGTCTGTCCCGGGGGCACTGGCCGGTTGGGGTGTGCTGGGGGGCCAGGTGAAGACGCCTGCCTGCTCCATTGCCTCCCACTATGCCTGTGGTCAGAACAGCCCGGAGTACTTGGAGGTGATGTCTGCCTGTCACCAGCGGGCAGCGGATGCTCTGGTGGCTGGGGCCATCCGCAACGGGGGCCTCTATGTGAAGCTGGGCCAGGGGCTGTGCTCCTTCAACCACCTGCTGCCCCCAGAGTACATCCGGACGCTGAGGGTGCTGGAGGACAAGGCACTTACTCGGGGTTTCCGAGAGGTGAGCACCAGGGGCCCACCCCCGGCAGACACCCCCAACTGCTCCTAGCCTCCTGCAGAGACACCCCCCCCCCCCACCCTCCACCACTGCTCACTTTGTCCCTGCAGGTGGATGAGCTCTTCCTGGAGGACTTCCAGGCCCTGCCCCAGGAGCTCTTCCAGGAGTTTGACTACCAGCCCATCGCTGCTGCCAGCCTGGCCCAGGTGCACCGTGCCCGGCGGCATGATGGCTCTGTGGTGGCTGTGAAGGTGAGGCAGCAGGCCGGGCCCATGGGTGGTGGGGTGGGGTGGGGAGGTGAGCCAGGCTCCCTGCACACCCGTCCACAGGTGCAGTACATTGACCTACGGGACCGTTTCCATGGGGACATCCACACGCTGGAGTTGCTGCTGCGGCTGGTGGAGTTTATGCATCCCAGCTTCGGCTTCAGCTGGGTGCTGCAGGTGAGCACCATCCCCTGGGCCTGCCTGGCCAGGCCCTGCACCCACTGCGTCTCACTGCCGTGTGCCCCCAGGATCTCAAGGGGACCCTGGCCCAGGAGCTGGACTTCGAGAATGAGGGCCGCAACGGTGAGCGCTGTGCCCGGGAGCTGCGGCACTTCCCCTACGTCCTGGTGCCTCGCGTGCACTGGGACCTGACCAGCAAGGTGGGCCCCACCCCCTGGGACCTGACTGTTGAGTGAGCCCCACCCCCTGGGACCTGACTAGCGAGTGGGAGTGGGCCCCCCCTGCTCAGCATCCCGCTCCCCCCACAGCGAGTGCTGACAGCAGACTTCTGTGAGGGCTACAAGGTGACAGACGTGGACGGCATCAAGACCCTGGGGCTGGAGGCGCAGGACGTGAGTGGGCTATGGGGAGGGCTGGGGAGGGCACTGGCTGCTGCCCTGGCCCTGACCCTGGCCTGCTTTTCCTGCACGCAGATAGCAAAGAAGCTCATCCAGACCTTTTCGGAGCAGATCTTTTATACTGGCTTCATCCACTCTGACCCTCACCCTGGCAATGGTAGGGGAAGCCCCCCTGGGTTGGGGGTGGGGAGTTGGGGACGGGGGCTGGTGGGAGCCAACGTGCTGTTTCCCCAGTGCTGGTGCGGAAAGGCCCAGATGAGAAGGCCCAGCTGGTGCTGCTGGACCATGGGCTCTACCAGTTCCTGGAGGAGAAGTAAGCTGGGCAGAGGCGGGCTGGGCACCACCCCCGCTGTCCTGTGCTAATTGCCTGCCCTGCAGGGACCGGGCAGCCCTGTGCCAGCTGTGGCGGGCCATCATCCTGAGGGATGACGCTGCCATGAAGAAGCAAGCAGCGGTGCTCGGGGTGCAGGGTGAGGCAGCTGGGCGTGGGGCAAGGTGGTGCGGGCAGCGGCTGGGCAGGGGCACAGCCTGACCCCCGCAGACTACCTCCTCTTCTCTGAGGTGCTCATGCAGCGGCCCGTGCACCTGGGGCAGCTGTGGCGCTCGCACCTGCTGAGCCACCGTGAGGCAGCCTACATGAAGGAGATGGCCCGCGACCACTTCGAGGACATCATGCGCGTGCTCAAGGCACTCCCGCGGCAGATGCTGCTGGTGCTCCGTAACATCAACACGGTCCGCGCCATCAACTCTGCGCTGGGCTCCCCTGTGGACCGCTACTTCCTTATGGCCAAGAGGTGGGCGGGGAGGGTGGGGGCAGAGCCTCTGTAGGGGTGGGGTAGTGGGTGGGACTGACCGCTTCTGTTTCTGTCCCTGTCCAGCGCTGTGCGAGGCTGGAGTCGCCTGGGGCAGGGTACACACAGGAGAGGCTATGGCGCCAGCCTCCTACGTCAAATCAGGGTCGTCTGGCAGGTGTTCAAATTTGAAGTAGCCCTGAGGTGAGTTGGACAGGAGACCCCGTGCCCGTGGACAGGTGATGGGGACCCACTCCTGACACTGCTGTCCCCCCTCCACAGGCTGCAGACACTGTCCATGTGGCTCACTGTGCACCTGGTTCATGTGCTGGCAAGGCTGGGCTTCATGCCAGAGAACACAGGGTTGTATGAGTACCTGGAGACCTAGGGCGCTGGGACACAGGACAGCACGGGGACCGAGGACTCTCCCAGGCCCAGCCTCGGGCAGTGGAGGCGGCCACGGCAGGAGATGGGGCTGCCCCAGGACCTGGAGTGCTGGAGCAAGTGCCTGGTGTGGGGGCACACGGTGGGCTATGGCTGTAGCCCGCAATGACCACACGCTCTTCTCAAACCAAACAAATCTCTGTGTTTTGTACAAAAAAAGGAGGGGACTGTCCTGGGGCTAGAAGTGGGCAGTGACGCGGTCTGTCTCCAGCAGATCATCCAGGATCTAGAGGAAAGGGGTGGGATGAGGGGACAGGGAACAGCAGAGTGGCCGAGGAGGGTGGAGGCATGTGGCTGGGCACTCACGATGTCGGGCGTGGTCCCGATCTTCTTGGCCAGCTCCCCACGCTCCATGGTGCTTAGATACAGGTAGCGGTTGAGCAGCTCCCCATCCAGCACGTTGCGCACGGCATTCTGGAGGATGCGCCGGTCCACGTGCAGCATCCTGGGGGGGGGCGGGGTTAGAAGTGGGTGTGGGCAGGGGGGGCAGGGCAGGGAGTGGCTTTGAGGACCAAGTGGTGATTCACCGGAAGGCCCGGGGGTTGAGGCCAGCGTGGTGGGGCAGCATGGTAGTGAGCGCATTCTGCAGCATCAGCAGCCGCCGGTAGGTCTTCTCTTGCATGGGCAGCAGGAGGCCAATGCCGCCGTCCAGCGTGGCTGTGGGGCAGTACAGAGTGAGGCCGCAGGGCTTCTGCCCACTGGTGATTCCCCCCTCTGCCCGAGGGCACTCACCGAACCACGTGATGTGCTTGTTTTCCCACACCACTGACTTCTTGCTGGGCCCCTCAGCGGCACCCCGGCACGGAGTCCTCCAGAAGGTGTTGACATGGGCGCCAACGTGGAAGTCGGCCCGCCGCAGCAGGCGCATGCCCCCGAAACTCTCCTTGGCTGGGCCAAAGCAGCCTCCAGTGATCACCCGCCTGCCCCAGCCCACCCGGCCCACCCCTGGCAGGCGGCACTCACCTTCTGGCAGGTACATGTACACCATGAGGTTGCGGTCACGGTCTGACACTGGAGAACAGCACAGTCAGCTCCAGCCCCACTGAGATCCCAGGGCCCCAGCCCGGCCTGACCCATGGCTCACCCAGGAAGCCCAGCTGTGCGTTGTCCACCATGAAGTCCACGCTGTATACCTCCAGAGGCTTTGCATCCTGGGGACAGAGGGCCATCAGTGCACTCTGGCGGCCAGGGGCAGCTGTCCCCACCAGCCCGCCCGCTGCGTACCCTGGACACCAGGCTCAGCGTCTTGCTCTCCTCCTGGTAGCGGAGCAGGGAGACACTCTTCATGACATCAGCTGCCAGGATAAAGTTCTTAACACTGATCATCTGGTGGATGTACAGCTGCGTGTCAATGAAAGCCATGCCCGTCAGCTCACTGGCACGCAGACTCCACAGGAATATCTGAGGGGAACAAGGGATGGGGGAGTGTGAAGCTGCAGCTTGGGCCAGCCCAGGACACCAGGCTGCAGTGAGGCAGGGCAGCACCTTCTGGCCGATTGCTGACACCAGGTGGCCATTGCAGTGGCACAAGGCAGTCACCGGGCCCTTCTGCTCCTTCTCGTACAGGACTTTGAACTTGTTCTTGGTCAGGGGCTGGCCAGGCTCAGGCACCACCTCGATCACATCCATGATGAGGATCTGTGTAGAGGCAGAGAGGGGGCGGTAGCAGTGCACAGGCACAGCGCCAGCTGCGGGCACTGCCTGCCTCCGCCTGCCAGTCCCTTACCCGCCCGCGGCACGTGACCTCCTCCCCCTGCATGAGGCAGGTCCCTGCGGCCACATAGCCCTTGAGGCCCGACACAGTCTCCTCACTGCGCAGCGACACCGTCTTCATGCACGTGACATGCTCCCACTCCTCCAGCTCAATCCTGTGGCCACATCCGTCAGAGCTCAGCCTAGGTTGGGGGCCAGGGGAGTACCCCCTCCCACCAGGTACCACCGCACCTGGCATTGGGGATGGCCTCCCAGCTGACTGGGGAGATGAGTTGGATGGAGAAAGCCTCCTGCTGGGGATGGATGTAGCGGTCATCTGCGGGGACAGGGACAGCGGTTACCATGGGACCACAGTGGGCAGTGAGGCCCAATCGGGTGCCACACCGGACCTCTCTCAATGGTCTCAAATTCCTTTTCCTCGCCAGTCATGCGTGGGATGCGGGTACATGGCGTGTTGGTGCTTGTGGCCACTGCGTACACCTGGAGGACAGAGTAAGCTGAGCCTGGGGCCAGGCCTCCCTTCCCTGGGCGGGGGTCTGGGGCAGACCTTGGACTCCACATGGTAGGCCACGTAGTGGGCCGTGCAGCGCAGCGGGATCTTCCTGACAGGCCAGGGCGCGTCATACGAGAGGTAGGCAGGCAGGACGCTGATCCTCAGCTCTCCCTGCGGGGGCGGGTAGGGGGAGGCTGTGAGTGCTGGGCCGGCTCAGCGGTCCCAGAGCGCACACGGGCTGGTGCTGATGGCAAGCAGGGGCCTCCCAGCAAAACCAGACAGGGAACTCCCTGCGGGGTCTCTGTCAGCTTGGTCAGAGAGGACAGGCTTGGAGAGGGTGATGCCTGGCTCAGCTCACGGCATGAGGTCAATGCCCCCTCCATGGCCAGAGCTGTAGCACCCGCCAGTCCCTACCTGTCTGTTGAAGTACAGGAAACCGCGGGGACAGTTGACATTGTGAAACGGTGCAAAGGAGTCGATGGGGCCGTCAATACCCATGGGGTGCAGCCTCAGTGCCCCCCGGCCTGTCACCAGGAGCCAGTGGGGCGAGGGGCCACAGATGAACACCTGAAAGCAGGCCAGGCTCAGAGACGCTTCGGGGCTGAGGGCCTTCACCACCCGGCCCCCCAGCACCCTGCCCACCTACCCCCGAGTAGCCATAAATGTCCTCAAAGTAGCGGAAGCGGGCCACACGGCCCCGGGTCCCAGCCCCCTCCTCGGCGCTGCTGCCTTCCGCCTTCTTCTTGGACGGTTTTGGCTTCTTCTCTCGGAAGTTGATGTTGTGAGGGACCTGCACAGGGGTGCCACGATGAGGCCAGCCCCTGGGAAACAGACCCCCGCCCAACCACCCACTAGGCAGCACCTTCTTAAAGCGGACTTTGAGGTTGCCCTGGCCGAGCTGAGAGTCGTGGGCAAAGGCCTCGTAGATGAGCAGCTCCTGGTCCACGTGCACCTGGGAAGCACAGGTCATCCGGGGAAGAAGCCAGACTCAGCAGCAGCTGGGCAGCAGCTGGGCTGGGGAGCACTCACCAGCAGGTAGGGCCTGCTCTGCCGGCTGCCCAGAGCCACCAGCAACACCTCCTTGACAAGTGGCAGCTCCCCCTGGCGAGTGGCTTCTTCTTTACGGACCTCTCCCTGTGTAGTGGGCTGGCCGAAGGAGCTGTCCACCAAAACTCGCTGGCCCACCGGGAAATTCTTGACGAGGAACACCAACCGCCAGTCTGGGAGCTGGTAGATCTGGGAGACACAGGAGGTGGTAGGTCTGGGGGGCCTGGGGGTCACGGTCGGGAGCTGGTAGATCTGGAGGACATGGTTGGGAGCTGGTAGTTCCGGGGACAGGTCACGAAGCGGGTACACTCGGAAATTGTGGCCTGCACACCCACCTCCATGGTACCATTCTCCCGCACTAGCAGGCACCAGTGGGTAGGCTCAGCACGGAAGGGCGCAGGGTCTCGGTCCGCTGGGGGCTGGCTGCTCCGGCGGGCCTCCTCCTTGCTAGGGCTGAAAAGGGACCCCGAATCTCCATAGAGCATCTCCTCCTCGTCGTCCACTGTGGGGCTGCAGACAGACAGCGTATGGACATGTCACGGCACACTGACTCAGGGACAGCCCCAGGCCCCCACCCAGGGCCCCACCTACCTGGGCTCAGATCCCTGGCCCTCCACCTCAGAGCCCACACGGCCCCCCAGCTCATCGCGGGCCCCGCCGAGACGGCTCTCAGTGGTGAACATGCCGCTGACATCACGGTACAAGCACAGCGTGATCACCTTAGACTGCTGCAGAAGTGGAGGGACGGCTCAACTGTGGGAAACACAGGGAGGGGGAAGGGTGGGCAGCACAGGGAGCAAAGGGGGGCCGTACGTGGTGCAAGGGAGGTTTGTGCAGTGCCAGGCGGTGGTGGCGGCCCCCATAGGAGTCGCTCTTAAGCAGGAACATGGCGACGTGGCCTTCTGCACTCATGATGACAACGTAGGGGTCCGCCACAGCACAATGCACGATGGGGGCGCCCAGATCAACGGGGATGAAGTGCAGCTGGTTCACTGTGGGCGAGAGGCGCCGGTGGTCTCCCTGATGCAGCCCACCCAGCACCTGCTGCCCACTCCCAACCACAGCTTACCTCCTTCCAGTAGGCGGATCCCAAGTGGAGACACTTGCACAATGTAGCGGTTGTCCCCAATGTTTCCGGCAAAGACCGTGGGGCCCTGTGTGGCAAAGCCACTGGTGTCCAGCTCCATGATCTCCTGGCCGGTCTGCAAAATCTGAAGGTGGCAGTGTAAGGAGGGTCGTGCCCACCCTGGCACAGATGACTCCCGCACTGCCAGCAGCCCATCCTCACCATGGTGGAATCCTCCCGGCTCAGGATCAGGAACCCGTGTCTTCTCCCGTCATCCTCTGCCTCGGCAGCGCTGGGCTCCTGCTCTGCACCTTCCGCGTTGGGAGTCTCATCCTGGGAGGGCAGAGGGGCAGGGCCTGAGAGCTGACCCCCAGAGTGGACCCTGTATGCGTCCAGCTGGCCTGCGGTACTACCTGCTCCTTCCGCACAGGAGCGATGACCGTCCACATGTCATAGCAGCCCGGCAGCTCAAAGGTCGTCACCACCTGGGGCCGGATGCTCTTCTGCAACAGGGGTGGGGGTCAGTTCACACAGACCCCAGAAGCGGCCCCGCCCACACATGAGCAGCCCCGCCCACCCACCACCTCACCTGCAGCACCGACAGGGCCCCGTTCTTCCCATAGCCAGAGCAGACCACTATCTCCAGATCCGGCTCCGGGCTGTTCTGGAACTGTAGGCCTGGGGTGAGCACTGCCCCTGCGCGCCCCACAGCCCCACCCCACAGCCCCCCGCCATGCCCCAGCACCTCTTCAGAAAGGAAGGCAGGCTCGCCCATGGCAGCATTGGCACAGGGTCCAATATTGAGAATGCTGTCACACACCTGTGGGGAGGCAGAGTCAGGGGGCATCTGGTGGGAAGGGGGCCCGGCAGGGAAATGGGAGCCCAAGCCTGCCTCACCTCAAAGGAGTAAGTGGCCAGCTGTGTGCCCGACTGGGCCTCACTGCCATAGACTTCAATCTCGTCCACCTCATCCTGTGGCAGTGACTTGGCTCCTGCAATACAGAGTCTTTGGGAGCTTCCCCAGCCCTCACCAGCTGTCCAGCCCATGCTCACCCACCTACTCCCACTTACCTGACCAGCTGCCTGTGGAGTCCACCCGCTTCTTCTTGGAGGGAGGCTCCTCCTGGGGGCAGGAGAAAAGTGAGCAGCCCAGTGGTCATCCCACCCTGAGCCCCCACCATCCAGGCCCCACCTTGTCTGCTGCATCGCGTGTGGCACCAACTGGAGGCTCCTGCAGTTTCTCCGTGTACTTGAGGAGCAAGGAGTTGCCGAGGCGTGACCCAAGGAACAGGTACCCAGGGTCCATGGTGACCATCTGAGGGGGCAGCAGGTGAGGGCCAAGGAGGCAGTTGGGGGGGTGAGGCCCGAGGAGACGGGGGGGGGGGGGGTGGCAGGGGATGAGGGCCGCCATCCCAGGAGCCGGGGTGAGGGTGGGCCCCACTCACGCTGGTGGTGAGGACGCTGGCGGCCGCCTTGTCAAAGTGGAAGGCGCGGACACTACGCATGCCGTCTGTGATGAGGGTCAGCACGTAGCTGGGGGGCACACTGGGTCAGGGCTGCCGGCAGGGCCAGGCGGGGGTGGAGGAGGCTGTGTGGGCCGGGGAAGGGGAGACTCACATCTCGCCACCCTTGAGGGAAACGACCATCTTGTCGTAGGAGATGAAAGCAGCCTGAGCACAGTCCAGAGTGATGCGGACACCCTCCTGTGTGCCTGTGGGTGCAGCCGCTGCTCAGCACCCCGCCCTGCCGCGAGCCGGCCACCACGCCTGCCCGTGTGGCCCTGCCAACTCACGCAAGGGGAAGGCGGTGGTGCCAGAGGTGAGGCTATTGAGCGCCACTCCGTAGGGGGGCACGCTTTGGTTCAGGTACAGCAGGGAGTTGACGGCAAAGATCACCACTCCACCTGGAGAGCAAGTTGTGGGCTGCTGGGATGGGCCTTGCCTCCCCACCCCACCCCCACTCTTGCCCCTGGGCCTCACCTATGGGCTTGGGCACTGCCAGGGCCTGGGTGCAATCGAAGGGCAGGCTGGTTAGGGACCAGATGACTGGGTGCACCTTCTGGGTGATGTTCAGGGAAATGGCCACGATGGAGCACGTGTCCTGCCTCACGGCCACACGCCTACCACAGGGCCAGGAGATCAGCCGGGGCTTGAGCACCGGGTGCCTGCCCCGCCCTCCCAAGCCTCGGGCTCACCCTGGCCACGTCTGGTTGGGCTCAAAGAGGATGAGCAGGGTGGGCTCGTAGTAGCCGTGCAGGAACTGCAGGTCCACGATGTTGAGCAGCTTCTCGTCCAGGGCTCGAACGTCGATGATGTAGCTGGGCAGGAAGCTGGACCTCTGCCTGGGAGCACAGGGTCAGGGTTGCAGGTGCAGGGGCGGGCAGGCCAGCGGAGGGCTGGGCAGCCGCCCCCATACTCACCCCTCACCCACAAGGCCCTCGTGCTCCTCAGCCAGGCTCTCCCTTCGGAAGGGCAGGACCACCAGGCGTGTACCGTAGATGAGCATGGCAGCACAGCGCCCATCCGGGTCCACTCGAACCCGCGGCGTGTGCACGTTCTGCACAAACCCATCCTGGGGAAGCGAGGCCAGGAGAGCAGCGGGTCGGTGGCTGGGACACAGGGGAGGGACTATGGGGGGGTGGTCAGCAAGAAGGCAGGGCAGAGAAAGGGGTAGGGGGAGGAGGGAGGAGGAGGGGTGGGTGGGGTTGAGTGAGGGCGGGCTCCAGCCAGGCTCCCCAGCATGGTCCTACCCGCAGTTCAGGTTCCTCGAAGTAGTGCAGAGACAGTGTCTTAAGGTCGTGCGTGCCCGGGTCGTACTCAACCACCGAGAGCTGGGGACAGCGGGTCAGAGTGCGGCCTCTGTACCGCCGCAGCCAGGCCTCCTGTCCCACCCTGCCCCCATGCCCACCTTGGCATCTTTGAAGCTCAGCAGCAGGGCGTCTCTCTTAGCCCCAGCCAGCTGCACACTGGCCATGGACATGACATTCCCGAAGAAGGAGAACGAGGCCACCAGCTCCAGCTTCTCCCGGTGCTCCCGGTGTACCCTGCCCTCTGGGGGACAGGAAGTGGTACTCTCTGGGCCCCCAGTCCTCCCCACCCAGCCCTGGGAGCTCACCCTGCCTTCACCTGTGCTCCTGTCACTCCGGGTTGGCGCCTGCAGAAGGAGGAAGGAGGAGAGTGAAGGGCCCTGTCCCCCTCCCTCTGCGCAGAGCTGGCCTGAGTGGCCAGTTCCCAGTGATGGCCAGAGGCTGGTCAGCCAACTCAATGCAGGAACGCTGCCTCCAGAGTACTGCCTCGACCGCCCCAAAGGGTGACCCCCAGAATCCCCTCAATGCTCCTGCCCACAGGAATCCACCTTGAACCGATGTTCCTTTTGCTCTATTATAAAGGACACTGTTACGACAAAGCAGCCTCATCAAGGTCCCGATGTGAGCACCCCCACGGGGCTGAAGGCAGGCCCACACCCAAGGGAAAGGCAAAACCACAAGGAGCAGAGGGTCCGCTGCTGGCAGGACACAGGAACGTGCCCTGTCGGGAGTGACAGCACAGCGGGCCAGGCACCGGCCCTGCACACAGTTGTGTCCGACTCCCGGCACTCTATCGGTGTCCTAAGTCCCGCCAGCAGTGATCTCTGAACACTGTCAGGTGTGGCCCAAATACAACCACCAAAATCTTGCTCACCACGGGACTCCTGGGCCTTTTACTCAGTCCTTGCTCCTGCCTGCCCCAATGTTAGGCATGTTACGCGGTGGGCCGGAGGAACAGTACAATGGACAGGGCGCTTGACTGCACATGGCCAACCCAGGTTGAACCCCTGGCACCCCAGATGGTCGCCCAGGTGCTGCCAGAATTACAGGACAGTGAGGGGGCACTTGCTCTGAATGACCCAGGTCTGAGCCCCACCACCCCATGCGGTGCTAAGCCGGGCCAGGAGAGATCCCTGCGTGAGGAGGCAGGGGTCAGCCCTGAGGACCAAAACAAAAAACAGAGATCAACCATATTCTCAGGCTGCTGGTCCCTGAGTAAACCCGTTTCCCTCATACCAGTTATTGTCTCCTGAATACTCCCAAGCGGCAAGCATTCAAACCCAGTTTCCATGCTGAAAGTCAGGGTCACGTTTTTCAGGGCTAATACCATGTGTTAAGTCAAGGGCTGGAGTACAGAGTAGAGCACTCGCCTTGCACATGGCTGACCTGGGTTCAATCCCTAGCTTCCCCTCTGGTCTCCTCAGTACCACCAGGAGTGGTTTCTGAACCAGCAAGCCCTGAGCATCAACAGGTGCGGACCAAAAGCTGAAAATCAGTCACCAGTGTGGGTCGGGAAGAGAGTTTGAGAGTTAAGGTGCTGGCCTTGCACACTACCAGCCCTGACTCAAGCAATGCCAGGTAGCGATTCCTGAGCACAACGGGGAGTGGGGGGAGGGAGCCCAGAGCACAAGAGTCAAGGTGTGACAGCAGGACAGAGAGGGTGGCAGAGGCACCAAGCTGAGCGTGGGGTGGGCTGAGCCGGCTCTCTCCTCTCTCCTCCACCCTGCGCTCGAGATGCTCCCCGCTCTTGCCCCCTCTTGCTCCGAGGGGCACCTCCCCCGCCCCGCCCTCCGTCCAGGCCCACCTCGGCGTCGCGGTTGAGCCGGTACACGTAGAGCTGCGATGTGCCGGCCACCACGAGGTTGCGCTCGCTGTTGTTGAAGAAGTTGCAGTACATGGCGAACTCCAGCCCAGTGGGCGGGTGCGCCTGCTTGTACACGGCATACATGGCACCGGGGGCTGCGGGCCAGGCAGCACGGTGAGACCCCAGCCTGGCCCAGAACCCCGCCCGGCCCGGCCCCCAGCCCAGGACACCGCCAGGCCTGGAACCGCGGTCAGCCCGGAACCCCTGCTTGGCCCAGACCCCTGCCCGGCCCTCCACCCAGGACCCCAGCCCTGCCTAGAACCCCGCCAGGCCCAGCCCCCCGCCAGGCCCAGCCCCCCGCCCGGCCCAGGCGCCCGCCCCGGCCGGCCCTGCCCGGCCCAGCCCCGCGCCGGCCCAGACCCCCGGCGGCCCAGGCACCTGGAGGAGAGCGGCCGAGCGGCGCGCGCGGTGCAGCGGCTTCAGAATCCCGCGGCACGCACGCTCCGGCGCGTCCGAGTTCCGGGCTCCTGGCCTGCGCCTGCGCACCGCGCCGCGGCCGTGGGCTGCGGGGCAGCAGCGTCCCCTGGTGGCCGGCGGGAGGAATGCCCACGGTCAGCCAACGCCGGCTCGCGCCGCCGGGATACTAGTAGCCCCCAAGACCTCGCTTTCAGCAACAGGCGAGTCTTTCCTGCAAACCCGCATGGACCGGCGTCGTGGGAGATAAAGTGAGGCCCCGAAGAGCTGTTCAGTTCGGCGGAGCGATAGGACAACCAGCCGGGAGGGCGTTCTCCTTGTACACGACTGACCGAACCATCCCTACCTGCATAGCCAGAGGTGAGCCCTGAACACCATGGGATGTAGCCCCCAAACCAAAACACAGTGCTGCTACGTGGGGGAGGCTGGAGAGGCAGCCAGGACTGACTTCCCTTCCCTGACCCACCTGCCATCACAAACTCGCTGGGGACTCATTGCCCAGTCCCTGCCAGAGCTCTGACCTCCCACTGCCCACTCCCAGGCTGGACCCCTGTGGCCAAGGGAGCCTCTCCTCTAAGTCCATCTTGGACCACGGGAGCCTCCACACATGGGCCCAGGTTTTAGCCTGCATAACTGAGGTAGGAAGGTAGATTGGGAAGGGGCCCTCCATGGCAAGGGAATTCCTGGAAAGTAAGAAAATCAGTAGCCCTAAGGCTGTAAAGAGTCCACCTTGTGAGCACAGGAATCAAGATCTGATGAGAGACCCTATAAAAGTCAACCTGAGCAAAGGAAGCATGCACATGTGCTGCCGAGCCCACATGCTGCCTGTGTCCACATGTTGCTGTCCAGCACATGTGGTTCCCACGTCTCCCCTCTTGAAATGTGTACTTTCATATTCTCATATCTGATGCTGGGATGTAGACTGGGGCTCTCTTTGCCTTTGGAGAAGACTTGAGCTCCTTTCTCTCGCTTGCTTTCTCTCCCTCCCCTTTCTCAAAACTTCCAAATAAAATCTGTTCATACTTTATTGATCTTCTCCTTCTGAAATTCTTTTCTGTGAGAAAGTTGAAGGACCAAAACTTCCTGGATAAGGTCTAGGAATGACTTTCCTTTCCTAAAAAGAACAGTTCCTCACTCCAGTTTGAGTCCATGACTCCCTGAGAAATCAGGTCGTGGGGATTAACTCCTGTGCTGGGTAGAACAAGTGGACATCAGGTATGGCTTGATGACTACCTAGTGGGCTGGTGGGGTTCTGGCCCATGCCACACAGGGCCTGGCCCAGGGCTCATCCAGACTAGCCTTCCCTGCTGGTCCCAGGATGGCAGCAGTGAGATTGGAAGAAAGTGGTCATCTCTCTCCTCTCTGCTTCAGATAAGTCACCTGGGGAATCACCGTCCACGGGTATCAGAACCATGAGGAAGTTGGTTTCCATTGCCCTAAACCTACAAGCTTGTGTAAACTGGTCACTGCGAGGGCCCCATGAACACGCAGGGCCCCACGCAGTCCCGCTGGCGTCAGCTCCAAACCCCTCTCCAACCTCATCTGGGTGAGCCCTTCTGGCGGCTTGGCTTCTCCTTCTCTGAGTCATCAAGTTTGAATGCTGTGACCCTGAGTCACCGCTGGCTATGGCTCTGCCCACCAGCGGGCCCGCACACCCAGAGGAGGGCACAGCCCTGGTTACCTGCAGGGTCACCACAGAGCCCTGCTAGGAAGGTAAGTCAGCCTGGGACAATGTGTTTATTGCAGTGGGAGGATGGCTGGGGAGAGGGCTCTAACAGCGGGCCTGGAGACACAGGAGGCTGGAGGAGGTGCTCAGAGGACGATGTTCTCCTCGTACAGCGACAGCAGAAGCAGCACGGCCCAACCGCCCAGCAGGCCCACGTTGTGCAGAAGGAAGAGGAGCCAGGGCCGCCGGTCCCGCACGTTCAGCATAGCTGGGAGCTGAGGAGATGACACTCAGGTCAGTAGCCAGCTCAGCCCCACGCAGCCCTTCACCCCTGGGCACCCTCCGGCCCCACCAGCCTGACCATGTCACAGAGCGCCACGTAAAGGAAAAGACCAGTGGCGACAGCTAGGATCCAGGCCTCGCTCTCCTCGGTGACGCCGATCCCTAGCGCCGCATAGAGGCCGGCGAAGGCCGTGAGCGCCGAGGCCAAGTTCAGCAGCAGTGCACGGCGCACAGACAGTCCAGCGTGCAGCAGGGCAGCAAAGTCCCCTAGGCGGGGAGGGGCGGGGTCAGGCTGTAACCCCGCCCCACCTCTCAGGCCCCGCCCCACTGCCCCACTCCCCTGACTCCTCCCACCTCCCAGGCCCCGCCCAACCGCCCCACTCTCCAGACTCCTCCCACCTCTCAGGCCCCGCTTCACCGCCCTACTCCCCAAGCTCCTCCCTTCTCTCAGGCTCCGCCCAGCCACAACCCGAGCTGCCTTGTGTGACCCTGCCCGTGGACCCCACTCTGTCTGACCCGAAGTCCTTTACCCGTAACAGGCTCGGTCCTGTCAGAGCCCTTTTCCCAGCAGGCTCCGCCCCATCCCCTCTCCGCACCCAGACTCTCACCCAGCTCATGTGGCACCTCGTGGCAGAATACCGCCAGCGAGGTGGCCAGTCCAGTCTTCCAGGAGGACGCAAAGGCGGCGCCCACGGCCAGGCCGTCCGCAAAGTTGTGCACGGCATCGCCCACCGTGATCATATAAGGCAGCAGTCTCAGCTCTGCAGACAGGGAAGCTGTGGGTCGGCTTTTGCCCAGCTCCACACTCCCTGCCATTTCCCTCACTGCCCGCGTCCTGCATTGTCTGCGTCTCTGCCAACCTGGCCCTACACTGCTGCCCCCCATTTTTTCCAGGCCTCCCTCCAGAGGCACCTGGGCTCCTTCTCTGGGGTTCCTGACTCAGCAACTCTGGGCTCTCGTCTGGCACCTGGAGGGGGTCAATCAGCGTGAGGCACTGGGCAGAGGGGTGAGGAGGGGCTGGGTCCCAGACTGGGGCTTGGGGAGGGGCTGAGGGTCCCATGGGTGAGGACTTGGGCAGGCTCACCAGGTCGGCTTGGGAGCTCTCGTGCGGCTGCTTGGGTAGCCGGAGCTCACTGGGTGCCAGCTGCAGGGGCACGCCGTGGCTGTGGCCTCCTTGACTGTGGCTTCCGTGGGTGCAGGGCCCGTCCTTTGGGTCCTGTGGGGGGGAAGTGACTCAAGGCCCACTTTCCTACCCGGTTCTTCCACCCCCCACATCCCAGCTGAGGACCTCACCTCAGGATCCACAGGCAGCAAGAGATTGAAGAGGTTCTCAAACAGGAAGAAGGTGTAGAGGCCGCCAAGCATGGCCAGGAGGCGCCAGGTGGGCTGGGGGCCATGGTCACCGCCACCCCCATTGTGGACATGCAGCCCCAGCACCTGGGGTAGAAAGTGCCAGGCTGGGTGACTTGGAGCCACCTCCCGTGGGCAGGGAGAGGGAAGTGGGCGTTGGGGAGCCGCCGAGGCAATGGGGCCCAGGAGAGCAGGCTCTGACTAACCTTAGGGGTCAGGTGCAGGAGGGCATCTCCGGTGAGGGCCCCCACGGCCAGGCCCAGGAAGGCCTGCCGCACGTAGTGTGTGGCCCTGCTGCACTTGGCACAGCACAGCAGCAGGAGGCCCAGCGCGGCGGAGAGGCCGATGAGCAGAGTCGCCAGCGAGCCATACAGATACTCTGGGGGCAGGACCGCGAGGGCTGGTGAGAGCGGGTCTGGCTCGGCCCATCCCTGCTGCTACAGCCTCTCGCCCTGCATCTCCCTGGGAGCACCACACTTTGCTCAGATGCCCCTCCCTCCCTCCCTGCCGTGCTGCCAGCAGCCGGCCACAGCCAGACGGGCGGCACAGCTGGGGTGATACTCACGTTCTGCTGGGCTGAGCTGGTTCTGGGTGGGGGCCCTGCCCTGGGGGCCACAGGCCCCACTCAGCTGCTGCTGGAGCAGGGCAGGGCTCAGCTGGGCCCATGCTGCCGGGGTCACTCCCGTGTCCTCCGAGAGGCCGTACACAGCCATCACCTCCCTGGCACTGAGGCACACCTGCAGGTGGCAGGGCAGGCTGAGGGCACGCACCTCTGGGTGGCAGAGACGCCCGTCCTGGCCGAGGGGCCCGGCTGCTTACCGTGTCCCACACGCTGGAGCTGCTGTTGGCAGTGGCATGGAGCACGGTGCCCAGGGGCTGGGCTGCCTGTCTAGAGTCTCCGTGGGCTCCGTGGCCGTGGGCATCATGGGGCATCTTGGCAGCTCCACCCAGCCCCAGGTGCTGCATCAGGGCTGTCAGCTCTGGCCAAGGCACATCCTAGCTCAGTGTGGGGGCTACCACCCGGGCTCCCGTCCACCCTGCAGACCTAGGCCTCACCGGCTAGAGTGAGATACGGCGCTTCGCCACTGTGCTGCCGGAAGATGAAGTCAACAAAGTACTGGGGCGTCGGCAGGCCAAGGACGCAGGACCCGTTTCCGACATGGTCCAGCACAGCAGCCAGCACAGGTCCAGGGCGGCCCGGGGCCCCCACCTCCGCTGCTTCTTGCAGTAGCTGGGGCAGCTCCACACAGGCCTGTGGGGGGACAGGCCTCAGACTCACACTCCATGACCATTGCCTGGGTCTGCCCCTGCCCCCCCCCCCCGTGGTGCCCAGCCCACAGAGTCCCTCCCCCACCCGGCAGCTGTCCCCTAGGGGCCCCAGGCCAGCACAGGCTATGGGGAACCCTCCCCTCCAATGCAGTCCCGGTGGCCCGCCTGGGATCTCACCCCCTGGGCAGTGGACTGGCCGGCAGCAGCCCGGGCTTGGATCCTCTGTAGCAGCCAGCTCAGGCCTGGAATCAGGGCCCCAGGGCCCTGGAGCCGGGCCAGCAGGTGGTCTGCACGGGAGGCCCAATGTCCAGCTAGGATATCGGCACAGGTGTCCTCAGGGTTGCTCAAGTAGAGGGCAGCAGCGGCACTGAGGCGGGCCACGTACCCAGGCTCCAGCACCTGGCCCCGAGGGAGCCCTCCCAGGGCCAGGGCTCGCTCCACGGACAGGCACTGTGGGCATAGACACCAAACGCCGGGCAGGGGCTGCCGCCATGTC